GTGCTGAGCTGGCCACTCATATTTTGGACCATTTGGTTGTCAAGGCTGGATAACACTGGGGATAAAGTGCCACATCTCATGAGCTCAGGGTTCTAGCCAGGGGTTTGGTATTGCATGGGCTGAGTACAGACAGCTTGATTTGCAGGAGGGCTTGGAACAGAACACCATCCACTATGGACCAAGAAGGCTCAGTTTCTTCTCCTTTCTTCACACATACCTTCCATTCATCTAAACTTCAAAATCTCTGCCCAGAGAATTGACATGCTGGTGTCCTCTTGGACTACCCCTAAGAATCCCAGAAGGCAACAGTAATTACAGCATATGTTATTACTGTGCTTAAATTTAATATCTGTTTTTTTAAAAAAAAGGTAATGGCAAAGGTCTGCTTATTAACAGGTATTGTCAGAACAGCAAAAAGCTATTGTACTTATTCTGGAAAACAGCTCTAGCATAAGACTGATGCTGATAAAAGTATACTTTCAAAAGTCTAAGCCTAATACCCTAAATATCCATTAAATTATTGCCTTGTGCATAATAGGTATTTGAAGAGTAATTTATATACTTGAAATAGAACAGAAACTGCCATATCAGTTATTTTTCCTTTCTGTTTCACACATACACACAGAGACATATATATATATGTATTTATATATATATTTCATATATATATATTGTATATATTTTGTAATGACAAAAAAATTGTATCTATACATAGAGAATGCATGAGTCTGTCTCACTGTTGCAGACAAGAAAACTGTCTGTAGGTTCATGCATCCTTTCCTGATTCTTAATTTAATAGAAGAGTCAGCGTGGCCTTTACAAAAATAATTTGCAATATAATTGTTTTTAGAGGTGATTTTTTAGATGACTTTGGAAACAAGGTGTTTAAACCTCTTTGAATCTGTCATAGTTGATCAGGATAATTGATGTTGATATTACTTGTAATATTTTCAGTAATGTTTGATAGAAAAATAGACACAAGTTTTATAGTTGTGACTGCATATATTTACATTTAAAGAGGTGGGGAGCAGAATTTGAACTTCCCTTTTGGTATTAGAAGTGAAAAAAATTAACTCATCTGTGGGAAAGTTTGTCCAAACAAGCTCTACTGCTGGCAAGTTAGCAGCGTATCTTTCCTTCCCCTCCCCCAAACTGTTGATTTTACTTTTTTCCCTGTCTTGGCTTCTTTTTCTTTCTATCAGGTTATATATTCACATTTCTCAGCTGATGTTTCTTATTAAATTACAGACACATGTTATGTTGAATCATTTAATCTTTCAAGTTGGAGTCCAGTTTTCTTGCATAAGAAAAATCTCTTTTAATTCTTTAGGACAAAAAGCATCATGTATTTGAGTTCCCCGAAAGCATTTAATAAAGCATGAAAAGATATGACATCAATCCCACTAAAACACAAGGGCAAATGAATGATGTTACTGTAAATCTTTACATCAATCACGCCCAGGACTTTAGAAACAATATAGTTTTGTTTGCATTTCAGAAGTGACAAACAACTCTTCTGACTGGCTTAACATAGTCACTTTCCATTAGTCAAGACCAGAAGCAAGTCAGAATTAAAATGTGGCCCTTGGTTGCCAGGCAGCCGAGTTGTCTTGACATGGTGGTTAGTTTCCTTTTCATCCAGTGACAACAGTGAAATGAAAGAAGTTTTGAAAAACTTGATAATGGTTTTCAAAGGAGGAGGATAATTGGTGGGGCTAGCTTGTGCGGCTCTGTGTGGAAACTTTCGTCTGTGCTAAGGGAAGACTGTCACTAAAAATTTAAACTCTTGTACACAAACTTGACCTGGAATCTTCTCCAGGTTTTCACTGGTTCATTTGTAGAACACTTCTCTCAGCCCAAGGGGTGCTGGGATGAAAGCGTTAGGACAGATGGGTAAAGCCCCAAAGGAAGAAAAGAATCAATAGTTGTGATTTAATCCATCAGTGAAAGGGAGGAATTAAGTAAAATCCTTAAAATGGGGAATTTGTAAAAGATCTTTTGATAGTACCTATAGCTGAAAATAATTTATCATCTGATCGCTGTTGAGAGTTAATGGCATTTGGGCTTAGAAAAGCATATTTTTGACTCATTCTGCCAGATACTGAGCAATTTTCCTGCTGTTATTTTTGATATTCTCTAGACAATAGATAATTTAATTCAAACAAATTTTCCCAAGATGACAAAAACCTTAAACATAACAGGATGATGGCAAGATAAGCTTTTGCTGCTGATGTTAATAATGCAAAAGCTAATGGGACATTAATATTAATACTAATATAAGTTGATATGAAGTAATATTTGTGTTAAACTGTTATAAAAGTCAAATGTATGCATAGCTGTCCATATCATTCATTTGTTAAAAGAAAAAGGCGGGGGGGGTG